ACGACGTTTCGAACTTGATTTGACAATTCAACAACTTTTTCAAGTTGTGTTTCACTATTAGCTGGAAACTGTTGAATTTTTTGCATTTGAACTCTTACCAATAAATCTGGGCGACCGAAATTAAACTGTAGCTCTTCCAGCACAAGAGGCACATTGTCGGGATAAATTAACAATGAAGAAACTACTCGCTTAGCATGACCATGTAATGCTTTATGAAGTCGCATTAAATTCTGCCTATTATTGTATCCAAATTCGGTAGTGGTATCTCTGTAGCTAGCTCTAAGCAAAGGCCAATCCTCTGGGTTGCCATCGAAATTTGGCAAAGGATACAATTTAGCTGCTGCGTTGTCAACAAAAGACACCATGCCCCTTTGTTGCAATGTTGAGTTCGGCGGTTGCATAAATTGAGACAGGGGTATGGAGTTCGAATCTGTCTGGCGATAATGTATTGATGGTTGAGGAAATCGTGGTACTGATGGCTGCGAATATTCAGCTTGCGACTATGGACAATATGGTTCCGACTGCAAATTCCTCATGGTTGTAGACACAAACGACGACGGCATATGCTGGTTAGATGTGTTATGTGGCAAAATATTGTTGAAGTGCTCCCCAGTAGCGGAAGCTATTATATTTACATTGTTCTGCAAATTTCTCACGGCCGTAGTTGTAGATAACGACGATAGCATATGCCGACTAGCTGTATTATCTGGTAAAATATTGTTGAAGTGCTCCCCAGTAGCGGAAGCTGTTGCATTTACATCAGTATTGTCTGAAGGCTTATTTGGCATGTGAGATGCGGCAATGTTGTTATCACCCATGAACCAACTAACAAGATCACCCAGCACGGCAACCGTGTATTTGTAATTGCATTTGAGAAAAAAAATAATGGTTGATGACGTCATTTTTTAATCGGTTCTTTCATTCACACACAGGTTTCATTCCGTTTTATTCACATGACGGCGAAAAAATGACGTTACTGCAAAAAAATAACTTTTTTCTCGCACGCCGTGCTGGGTGATCTTTATTCGTTCGTTCATGGTTATCACCCATCTTGACTTCGTTTTTAATTTGTTGTGTTTCACGGCTTAGCTCGCTTACGGACTCCTTCAAGTATTAATGCTTGCCAACAATGCGGCGAATTGATCGTGCGTTATGAGACAATTCGATGAATTTTCCATTGTATTTCTTTCAACAAAAGTATTGTCTAAGCTATCAGAGTCATTTGACATTTCTTCTACTTCTGTTGCTACACTTTGCTCAATAACCTTTTCGTTTTCTTTTGCTTGATTTCTTGTCAGCATGATGTTCAGCAACTGAACCAAATGAAAGCAAGCGAGACAAAATTACTTGTAAATATGTATTTAACATCGTTTGAAAGGAATTTCTAGAACTGCAAACTTCTCGTTGCAAACTGATTGCAAGGTCTGCTTATGACTATGACTGAAAAATGTTGACTGCGATGCTCAATGTACACTACGATAACTGAATTTAAAAGCGCAGTTAGTCAACGACGTATCGTAGACGTAGGTTGACGTACGTAGCAGCATATCAAATTTACTGTTGATAGAGAGAGAGAGAAGCAACGGCAACGTCACCATCATGCGGTGGTAAGTTATCGTTAACACGCGAATTCCATAAGGTAGATCGTGTCTGCGTCAACCGACGTCTACGTTACGTCGTTGACTGTTTGAGCTTTAAGGGTTGATTCGACGATTTCAACTAGACTACGCTGGCTACGAAGCTAAATGCTGAACGTTTTCTGTACAGCTCAATGTTGAACGACGTTGACTGCAAAACTCAAATTCTGGCGACTGTGTCTGCGAAACTCAATGCTGAACGTTTCTGTACAGCTCAATGTTGAACGACGTTGACTGCACAACTCAAATTCTGGCGACTGTGGCTGCGAAACTCAATGCTGAACGTTTCAACAACTGACGATTTGAATTTCTTTTATAGGGAATTTACATGAGACGATTTTTAAGGCGATTTTTAGTTGCAACAATCGCCTGGTGTAAACGGCCTTTCAACTAATCGCTTCCAATGAAGTTGGTCGGCTGCCTACTTTCGTTCAACTTTTGGTTCAACTAATCGCCTGTGAAAGTTGAATCATGTAAATTTCCTATTACGCCGCACACATACAATTCCAAATACTGCACGAGATGGAATGAATGACACAAGATAATATACGATGACTGGATGACGCGTCGAACTGATCGACAAATATGGCTGACCCTTCTGCCAATCTTCGTAAGTCGGTTGATTCGTGGAAAATATGCATGCATGTATTTTATGCAAAGCCAATTTGGTATAACTCGAACGTACCAATGTTGTATGCAAATTTGTAAGGTCGGTGTTATGCAGACAAACTTTTGTTTGCCAAATTAAATGGCGCGCCATGGCGGCTGCTTAGTTTGCTCGGAGTTATGTCGAGTTTGGCACAGGGTTGCACGTTCATTATGGTTTTCATGGCTATTGCCAACACGAAATGAAAATTTCAGATGTACATAACGCGCACAATTTAAAATTTTTGTATATGACAACACCGAATTTGCTGCAGTTTGACCAAACAAAATTAGTTTGCTGTGAGAGTCGCCAAACTCGCTCTCTCCGAGTGTGCTACAACAACAATTGCACGCAGTTTGCCAAACAAAATTTCTGCATAACACCAACCTAACTTAATGTCGACAAAATGAATAATAACAAACCGTTTTAAACGCCTTTAAGGCAGAACTTCAAACTTTATTTTAATTTAATTGACACTTTAGCGCATGCTAGTGCGCGTTACAAATTTGGTGCTTACTCTACGACGAAGTGAAGAAAAATGCTCCCATTCAGTGCAGAGTTGCCATGTCGTTGTATTGTGGCGAAGAGTTGCCATGTGATTGTATTGTCTTGCTGACAGTTATACTTAAATTAATTATGAGTTGGGTTGGTGCTCTTTCATATGCGCATTTTTTTAAATTTAGCACGCTTTCTTAATTGTAAACAGCTTCCGGACTTTGCTCCGATCGGGTAGATTTACTCCGATTTCTCCTATTCCCGATTTAATTTTTACTCCAATTTTTCGAGTCATTTACTCCCGAGTCGAGTTTCAGTAGTCCGAACGCTGATTCTAAACTTCTTTCTCTCAGTGCACCGATTTCATTTTTGAAATATGTAGTTACATCTCGAGATAGTTGAATTTTGCACAAGCAATAGTTGATGATTAATATATGTATACACCTAAATACGTTTAAAAAGTCGTGCACAGAGTTTTACTCGATATTTTAATGTTATCTTCTACTTTTTTTGTAATTGTTTTCTTTCATGAAACCTAGAGTACTTAACAGTGCCGTACAAAATTATTTGCTCGGAGGCTCTTTCATCAGATCACAACTTCCAATGAGATCCTTTAGAAAAATTTTGAAAATGTAGCTTTTGAGCCAATTAATCAAGTGCAAATCTGAAATTGCCAGAAAATTTCGGCGATTTTTAGAATTTTTTATTTATTTTTTGCTGTCAGTGTCTTCCATATAAAAGGAATTGTCGAACATAGTTTGTATGGAAGAAACTCTCAGTAAAACCAATACCAAAAATCTACTAAAATTTAATGGGCTGCAAAACTTCATTTTTAAAATTTTTATAAGTCTGATTAGAAAGCTGCAAATTTGTATTCAAATTTATAGAATTTTTCCCGAGTTTAGCACAAAGTTTAGAAATTGTATATTTATGTGTTTTGATGTATTTAGTATAAACTGTATTTTTATAAAGGATAAAAAAGGTGCGTGCATTGTGAAAAATTATCTGTGCTTTAGTTGTGATAAGTTGTTTTGTTTTGTTGGCTTGAGTTGTAATGATCTCAAGATCTCATGATTTTATGTTTTTGTTCTTGTCTGTCAAAATAAAATTTTACTACATCCTTTCGCGCGTAATTTTTTCGAAGCGAAAGGGAAGGGAGCGAGAGGCCCCTCCCTCCTTTCCACGTCTTTTTTCTATTTGGCACATTTTGGCACTGTTTTATCCTCAATATGGCACTTCATAGCTAAGTATAGTTGCCAACCCTGATCGTACTAACTGAATTTTTTTCGCCTGCGCGATAGTATGTACACTTTTAAGATGCATGCATATGAATTATGCGTGGCTTTTATTGTATCTCTGTATTTCCATAACTCGCTGTATGAGCAAACCAAATAATGTAATTCTTAACAGAAGTACTTAAAGCTTAACAGTTTGGCAATTTAAACACTGTTGAAGTTGATTTCCGGCATTTCTCTTACTAGCGCCTGCTACTATACTTCTTATTTACTACTGCTGGCAGCTTTAACAATTTTATAGTGGTTTTACGTTCTTTGGCAAATTATAATCTGTTAGCCACACATTTTACTATGATTTGACCGCCTTTGTATCAAGACCCCTGGACCATATATAGGGAATTCAATTATACTTTAAATTGCATTGTCATCGTTATTGGAACCATGCTGAAAATTTCAAGTCTCCATCTTGTCGGGAAGTTAGTTTAAAATCGATTGGAAATTTCCGCGGGATGACCAAGATAAATACAAGCTTGTAAAAACTAGCGATGAATACAGTTTCTTCAACAGATATTTGATAAATAACACAGGGATACAAAAGTAAACAAAAGAAATATGCAAGGGTTCTCATATAGAAATTATGTTTTGCTGTAGCCCATAGGATAGCACTATACTTACAGTTTTTCTCCATCACTTCGTTTACTAGTGTTTTACTAACAAATATAATAAAACTTTGGTATTCTTCTAGTTGAAACTTCAAAGAGGTTTAACGTTGTTTTTTTTTTGGTTGAATTTAAAATTGTTTTTCTGTTTGGGTTTTACCTTTCTAACAAAGAAAAAAAATAAGTGCGCCCGGGCCACACTGGAATCGTGAAACTTACGTTACATA